TGGTCAGGCTGGTCTTGAACTCCTGACCTCAGGTGATCTGCCTGCCTCGGCCTCCCAAAGTGCTGGGATTACAGGCATGAACCACCGCGCCCAGCCTTGTAATTTACCTTTGATTGTGACTTGAAATGCAGTATGATCCTATGTGGGGCACGTAGTAATGTTCAGTGTTTGCTGAATTAATTCTGAGCGACACTAAGAAATTCCTCTTTCCCAGTCATATTCTGTAACATATTTCCCATTTGCCACAAAACCTGCAGCTTTTTGGCCCAGGTAATGTCATTTGCTGCCATTTTGATGATTTTAAAATGGTCGTGGGAGTTGAACATAGTCATGAATTCAGGATTCCTGAGAATGTAGACAGCCATCCCAGTGGAAAGAAACGTTCACTTAAGTAAGAGAAGTTTGTTAGAAAGAGGAAACAGTTTATGCTAAAAAAAATTTTTTAAAGTCTTTGAGAAGAATTTTTGATTTAGTTTTGACCTCATGAAGCTGGTAGTTATGCATAGTTTGTACCACCGTTTATGAAGATAGAGAATCTAGTCAGCACGTGTTGGTTTATTCTAGGAATTTTTATGGAACACTTCTGTTGCTGGCACCAAGTGCTGACTATGGTTTAAAAAAAGACTCGCCTAAACATAGGGAAGAAGAGCATATTAAAAGGAGTAACTAAAACTGATAAAAGCTCAAGTCACCTTTCTGATGATGAGAGGCGGGGCACTTAATGCAAAAGGGTTGGGAAAGGCTTCCTGGAGGGACTGGGAGGCGATCTAAGCACAGGGAACCTTCCCGGGGACTGCAGTGTGGCATAGCGGCAAGGTATGTGCTGGGCAAATGATAGGTGTCTTGGGAGACAAGGCAAACAGAGCTGGATTAGGAGCCATTAAGTATATATTTTTCTTTTTAAATAAAATAATGCACTGGGTGAACATGTAAACGCTAAGTTGAAAATCTGCCTTTCCCAGGTAACCCTTGTTAATCTTTCTACAACTTCATTTCGTACAAACCTGAAAAATAGTGTTTTTGTCTTTAAATGGGCACACGCTCCTTAACACTGCTGGGCGCCCAGGCTTTCTGAAGCCTCATGCGGCCGTCCCTCCAGCACTGAAGGCTGGGACAGCCCAGCTCCCCTCTAGCGCCCGCACAGCCAGACCGCGGGGGGGACGGGCGGCGCACGCGCGGGGCCGCCGCCCACGGCCGGATCTGGGGCGCCGCCGCTCCGGGTGGGCGCCAGGCAGGAGTCCTATCTTGGGTCCAGGGCCGGTAGAGCCCCTTACTGGGGGTAGGGAGACCGCGCACCCGCCAGAGCCAAGTGTCAGGGCCTGCAGACGTCGGGTGAAGCCACTGTTAAAAAGTTGGCGGTCACATCGTGGTAAGGGCGGGTGGCAGCAGCTAAGCGAAGGGGAGTCGGCTGACGGGAATCAGTGCGCACTTCCTTCTGAATTGGGCGTGTGCAGTCGGTTCCTAGGGAAGTGCTCTGCTGCAGCCACCAGATTTGACGGATGCTGCTCTCCAGCTCTTAACATAGAAGCTAAACTGGCGTTAAAATTCCATGAGCATAAGGACATTTGTCCTATTCCCCATTCAGCTGTTGAATTAATGACTGGAAAACATTGCGCGGAGGTTTTTCGGGGTGATATGGTTTATTTTTTAAACAGCAAATGGTATAAATCTCAGGTACAATTCAGTATCTTCTTCACCAGTTTTTTTTCAGCTTGTATTATTAGTACCACTAACAGCGTCTGTTGAGCCCTTCATTGCTATGTAAGCAGCCATATTTAATTCTCAGAACAATGTAATGAGGGTGCGCAAATACACATGAAGAAACAGGTTTCCAGACGTGAGGGACCTAACTCATTCCAACTTGCATGAAGCTCGTATTGAAAACCAGATGTGACTCCAAAGCTAGGTTTCTTTTCTCTCTTGCCTCACTCTTAATATTGCTTAAGTTTCTCCTCAATCTTTAGGTTTGGGCAGGGGCAAAGAATACATGGGTTGTTCTTCCACATTCTGCAAAAACATTTACCTAAGCAGAGCACAGGTAGTGAGATGAGTAGAGAACCGAATTACAAGATTCTGGATGTCAGTCTTTGCTGTCACTTCTTTGGCTTGTGCTAGAACAGTGGTTCTTAAAGTGTCACCTAATAAATTGTTTGAAAGACACATTCTAAAGTCCTGTCCCAGACCTACAGAATCAGAAACTGGTGGTGGGGACCCAGCAAGCATGCTCAAATTTGAGAACAGGTAGACTACAGGGTAGTTTCCGCATATACAAAAGGTGTTTTAATTCTTGCTGTCAGTCTCAGAAGGTTCATGCTGAGATAACCAAATTTAGATAAAGGTGCAAGACTGTCTCTTAAAATCACATTTTTTCAAATTGCCATAGCTTGCTAGTGTTCTCATTCACTGTGCTCTTAAAGCTTCATTTTCCACTATTTTAAGAGAAGAAATTGCTATGAAGTGTATGTCCAAGTTAGGAAGTTCCCTGGACTGAGCTTGTTTAAAACTTGCAATAGGCCAGGTGCAGTGGCTCAAGCCTGTAATCCCAGCACTTTGGGAGGCCGAGGTGGGCGGATCATGAGGTCACGAGTTCGAGACCAGCCTGGTCAACATGGTAACACCCCGTCTCTACTAAAAGATACAAAATTCGCTGGGCATGGTGGCTCACGCCTGTAGTCCCAGCTACCTAGGAGGCTGAGGCAGGAGAATAGCTGGAACCTGGGAGGCAGAGGTTGCAGTGAGCTGAGATTATGCCACTGCACTCCAGCCTGGGTGACAGAGCAAGACTTGGCTTAAAAAAAAAAAAAAAGAAAAATCAACAACAAAAAACTTGCAATAGCAGGGGCTGCCCATTACTTAACCTTCCACAGCAATTTTAACAGTGGTATTCTGTTCCAGTGGTTAATATTAAATCTATGTGTCAGTATTGGTGGCTTTCAACCTTGGCTGCGCATAATCATTTTGATGCTTAGGCTACACCTAGCCGAGTTATACAGAACCCCTGGAGGGTGGGACCTGATCAGTGTTTTAATGTTTCCCGGGTAATTCCAATGGTAGCCAAGGTTGAGAACCAGTACCATATGTACAAAAAAGTTGAGAAGCTAATTTCATGTACAGAAAATTTGCCACTGTTCCAAGAGCACTCTCAAGGGACATAATTGGCCTCTATTCCTATTCTCTACAAGTATGAACGGGCAGGAGAAGCATCACAGAGAAAGCAGAGTTAGTGCTGGAACTTGTATTTTTGTGATGTCCTTGGTTATTTTAAGGGGCTTTGTTTTTTCATAGGTTCTCCCTCATTACGTTGTTCTGAGAATTAAATATGGCTGCTTACATAGTAATAAAGGGCTCAACAGAGGCTGTTAGTGGTAATAATACAAGCTGAAAAACTACACAAACCTATCAGTTTCTGCCTCTTCAGGATATAACTATTAGGTTAGTGCAAAAGTAATTGTGGTTTTTGCCATTAAAAGTAATGGCACATTACTTTTGCACCAACCGACCTAATATGACTTTCTTTTAGTGTTCTTAGGATTTTTAATTGTAAAACATATATAACAAAATTCCCAAACAATTGTGCAATTCAGTGGCATTATTTACAATGTTATGCAACCACTATTGTATTTCCAAAATGTTATCACCCTAAACAGAAGCCCTGTAACATTGTCAATTAACTTCTCCTTCCCCTCCCCTGAGCCTTTGGTACTGGTTCTGCCTCAATGCATTTGCCGTTTAGTTCATGTAAGTGAAATTATACAATATTTGTCCTTTTGTATCTGGTTTATTTCATTTAGCATGTTTTAAAGGTTCATCCACAGATCAAACAGGAATGTGCTTCATATTTGGGGGAACTGTAAAAAGTATTCCTTTTAATGACTGTATATTTCACAGTATATTGTACACATTAACCATTTGTTGGTGGACACTCAGGTTTCTACTTTGGACTGTTGAGAATGCTGCAGTAAACACCATACAAGTATGAGCACTTTTTTTTTTTCTGAGACGGAGTCTCACTCTTGTCACCCAGGCTGGAGTGCAGTGATGCAATCTTGGCTCACTGCAACCTCCACCGCCTGGGTTCAAGCGGTTCTCCTGCCTCAGCCTCCCAAGTAGCTGGGATTACAGGTGCCCACCACCACACCCGGCTAATTTTTGTCTTTTTAGTGGAGATGGGGTTTCACCATGTTGGCCAGGCTGGTCTTCAACTCCTGACCTTAGGTGATCCGCCTGCCTAGGCTGCCCGAAGTGCTGAGATTACAGGTGTGAGACACCGCACCAGCCCTCCATTCTTGTCTTTAATTCCTTTTGTATAGTCATCCCTCAGTATCCATGGGGGTACTGGTTCCAGGACTTTCCATGGATACCAGAATCTGAGGACACTCAAGTCCCTGACATAAAACAGCATGGTTATTTGTATATAACCTACACATCCTGCATAACTTAGCCATCTAGCTCTAGGTTAACTTGTAATACCTAATACAATGTAAATACTATGTAAACAGCTGTTATACTGTATTGTTTAGGGAGTAAGTCTGTACATGGTCAGGAACAATTTTTCCCAATTGTTTTTGATCCAAGGTTGACTAAATCCATGGATGTGAAACCCAGAAAGGAGGGCCAGCTCTGGGTCATGTGGTAATTCCATGTTTAGCTTTTTTTTTCTACTGCAACTGCAACGTTTTACATTACCACCAACAAAGTAGAGAGAGTTCCAATTTCTCCATATTCTATTTTCCGTTTTTTGGATCAGCGCTATCCTAGTAGGTATGAAGTAGTATCTGGTTTTTATGTGCATTTCCTTTATGACTGACAAATGCCGAAAACGTTGTGAGATTTGCAAAAAATTTTAAGTGTCCTATAAACAATGCTTTTTCTTCTTTTTTTGAGACAGTCTTGCTGTCACCCAGGCTGGAGTGCAATGGCATCATCTTGGTTCACTGCAACCTCCTGACCTGGGTTCGAGCAATTCTGCCTCAGCCTCCCGAGTAGCTGTGACTACAGGTGAGTGCTACTGGCTAACTTTTGTACCTTTAGTAAAGTACACCACGTTTTCACCAAGGTGGCCAGGCTAGTCTCAAACTCCTGACCTCAGGTGATCTGCCTGCCCTGTTCTCCCAAAGTGCTGGGATCACAGGTATAAGCCACCGTGCCCAGCCCTAAACGATGCTCTTAAATGTATTAAAACACAGGTTAAGAAATTTTTAGAATTTATACATAAAGCCAGTGAAAACTGAAATCTGTCACAAGCACTTTTCTGAACACTGGTCAGTTATACTTTCCTGAACGTCTCTAACTTTAGGGTAGCTGTGGCTGTCTGGCACAGACTAAAAGGAAGTTGACAAACACGGATGGGTTGGGAACCTTACTTTTTAAACACAAAGGTCTCCTTCTTAAGCTTGTATTCTTTATGAGAACTTGTTCTCTCACGCTCACTCCAATGTATGCATAGTTTTCTAAGTCCCCTTCTTCTTGGCTCATTACCCAGTCCTCCACTTTTACTCTCCATCCTATTTAATATTAAATATTTAACTATAGTTCAAGAGTATTTTTGCATCACTCATTCAGACTAGCTAAAATCAAGTTATGTATCTTAAAAGCCAAAACTTGATGATCTGGGGGAAAAAAAAAGCCTGTAGTGACACACATTGGAGATGCTTTGTAATTAGTATATTAAGGAGA